TTTTTCCTTCTGAGACTAAGTTTTGCTCTTGCTGCCCAGACTGGAATGCAATGATGTGATCTCGGCTCACTGCAATCTCTGCCTCCTGGGTTTAAGCAATTCTACTGCCGCAGACTCCTGAGTAGCTGGGATTACAGGCACATGCCACCACGCCCAGCTAATTTTTGTATTTTTTAGTAGAGATGGGGTTTTACCATGTTGGCCAGGCTGGTCTCAAACTCCTGACCTCAGGTGATCAGCCCACCTGGGCCTCCCAAAGTGCTGGGATTACAGGCGTGAGCCACCACACCCAGTCCCTTTTCATTTTTTAAAATCAACTTTGGTTAGGCATATAGCCTATAATCCCAGAATTTTGGGAAGCCAAGACAGGAGGATCTCTTGTGGTCAGAAGTTTGAGACCAGCCTGGGCAATATAGTGAGACACCCCCCATCTCTTAAAAAAAATTAGCTGGGCATGGTGGCACATGCGCGTGGTCCCAGCTACTTGGGAGGAGGCTGAGATGGGAGGATCGCTTGAGCCCAGGAGGTGAAGGCTGCAGTGAGCCATGATTATGCTGCTGCACTTTAATCTGGGCAACAGAGCAAGACTTTGTCTCAAAAAATAATAAAAATAAACTTTACTAGACACAGTTTACGTAAAACAAAATGCGCCTATTTTAGTTATACAGTTTAATGAGTTTTTTGCTGCTGTTGTTGTTTTTGAGATAGAGTCTCACTCTGTCGTCCAGGCTGGAGTGCAGTGGCACAGTGAAGTGCCTAGCCTAGAAAATATTTTTCAATGGAGAAGATTATAGTTTGCATTTTGGAGACATTATCGTTTACAGTGTTATAATAGTGAAAGGCACAGGAGAATGCACATACAGTTACTCAAAGTACAGCCCTGGGGAGGGGAATGGGAAAGGAGAGGCAATGAAACGGCAGGACCCTTGAAAGGATGAACCCTAAGTGACTAGACAGAAAGCGTCTTGGCTTAAGTGGCAGCATAGCTAATATAATTTTACAGTAAGTTAAATAAAATGGAAGCTAACACGTTCAGTGCCCAAAGGCAAGAAATTGTACCAGTGGATGCCTTTTAGTCTAAGAGCTAGCATTCTGTACAGAATGCTGAGTTTCCAGGCTGCACTTTTCCTGGATCAGAACCATTTCTTCTAGGCCGGGTGTGGTGGCTCGTACCTGTAAATCCAGTGCTTGGGGAGGTATGTTTGAGCCTAGGAGTTTGAGACCAGCCTGGGCAACGTAGCAAGACCCTGTCTCAAAAAAAAAAAAAGTTAAAAATTAGCTGGATGTGGTGGTGCATGCCTGTAGTCCTACCTACTAGAGAGGCTTAGGTGGGAGGATCGCTGGAGCCCAGGGGTTTGAGGCTGCAGTGAGCTATGACAGTGCCACCGCGCTCCAGCCTGGGTGACAGAACGACACCGTCTCTCCTAAAACAAACAAACAAAAAACCATTGCCTGTCTTTGTCTCCTGATCCTCTTGGTCTTATAACCACATATAAAGTGTCTTCCAGTTTGGATTTTGTTCTATTGTGGGCATGGATTCTACCCTATAATCCTTTCTTGTTTTAGCAAACCACAATAGTTTATACAAAGATTAGTAACGGGAAAAGCATTTGAAGTAAAAGATTTTGCTAGGCTATCTTTTTTTTGAGGGAGGAAATTATTGCTTTTAAAAAAGATACAGATTTAGAGTAAAAAAGAAAGGAACAGAGGAAAAATGTCAACTAAGTGAATCACTTTTTAACAGTGAACATCCCTAAAAACATCTCTTTGCATACATACTCAGTTTTGCAATCTACTTTCTCTCAACAATATTTCATGGCTTTCTTTCTATAACAATAAATACAGATGTACATCCTTATTTTTTTGGCTTCATAGAATTTCATTGTATCTACTGTATGTAACTAGTATTCATGGGCATTTAGGTTGCATTCAGTTTTTCACTATTATAAATTAAGTGGCAATTTTTAGCATATTTTGCCCAATTAATCTGACATCTATGAATATTAATATTCTTTCCAAATTTAAAAAAATCAGTAATATTTTGTGAATGGGGAAAAATCCTAGCAGGAGTAGCCATTTTTACTTCCTGAGAAATGCTTTTCTTTTTCTACCATATTTGCAATGTTACAGTGTTCACTTTTAGGGTGTGGAAGACAGTAACCTAAATCCTGTTCCTCTCTTCTGTTGAGCACTGTTATTACACACACGCTTCCCAAGGAAAAGTTGTGAAGTCTACACTTTGGGGGGAGGTTGAGGCAGTGGGGGTGAGAGGTAGGAGTCTTTCCTAAGCTGACTTTACTGTTTTTTGCCTGATCTCCTGTGTACTTCATGTCCCCACGTTTTCCTCTGAGAGCTCCAGGCCCTCCTTGGTGGCTCCTGGCTGACTCCCAGCAAGAGCTGATCCTGGGTTCTCACTGGTCCTTTCTCTGTAGCTTCTCAGAGGTTGCCGAGTGAAGGAATGAGGCTTACCGAGACTGTCCTGTTTTTCCGTTCCTTCAGTGCCTTGAGAGGTGACCCAGCTGGCTAAGATAAACTCGCTGGTACTGTGCTAGCAGAGAGCAGTAACATTTTGATGTGTGAATATTCCAAATACCACTTCTCAAAGACAAAATGAGATTTCAAGGCCTCCGTCCCAAAGGGATAGTCAATTTGCAATTTTGGGTCCACTATTGGGCAGTGAAGGTGTTATCACCAGGCAAAGAGGGCCTTTGCCTCCTCAGGGCACACTGGTGAGGAGGGCACCTGCTCTAACCTGACTCTTTCCAGCCCAGTACCTTAGCAAGCAGAGCTATACAATGTTATGGAACTGATCTCATTTTCAAACAAGACCCCATATCCTGAGGGTGATGCCGAAAAACATGAAAATGGAGCTCGGATACAGGCAGAAGAGCGGGATTCACGCTTCTTTCTCTATATCATTCGTTGTTTTTCCTGGCATTTATCACACAGAGACTATTCAACATTCATTAAAACGTAGCATCATATACTTTGCCAAGGTAAAATCTGCAGGAAATGCAGGATAATAACTAAGCAACAATACTCTGATTTGTGATGCTCATTTCTCAGGCTCCTGAGTGTATATAATGAGGCGATATTGTATCATGGAGAAACACTGCAGGCACAACCAACTTACAAGTTCGTGTGATGGGCGAAATGAAAAACAGGATGTTAAAAGGACATAGCGAAGCAATGTGGAACTTGGGGGAAAAAACATGCTGAAGCGCTGCCAGCGCCAGGTGTAGAGGAATACAGCTCTCCAACTGCAGGCAGCTTCCCTAGGTTAGGTGTGCAAAGCTTTATTCTGGTCTACCACGGGGAAGCTGAGATTGAGACAGTGACTTTCTGCAGATTTACCTGAAGGGACCTTGATGCCTGTTAGGTGTCACTGCTCTCAGTACCATGCCACAAACAGTAAAACAAGCTCTGTTTTCCACATCAGCGCGTACTTGGAGAAGTGCAAGTAAAACATAATACATCTCGAGAAATGTGTATAAATCATAATGCATCTTGATAAGTCTATCAAATGCTGCTAGGAGCAATGGAAATTTGTCCAATTCCAGATCACAGAATGACCACAAGTTCTCCAGGTTTGGACTATCAATAAGGAAACAATTACTTGTGCACAATGACGTAAACTTTCTAAGATGTCATATGGCAATATTAAGAGATTTAAAAATGATCCTTTTTGGCAAAGAGGGTTTGGGGGTAAAATAAAAAAAAAGGTTCCTTTTTTGTCAAAATGACCTAGAAATTTCAATTCTAATGATTCCTTTTATGGAAATGAGCAGACGCAGACAAAGATCAGCATATAAAAATGTTCATCCCTGGACTGTTTTTATCATCCTGAAAAAGAAACAAATGAAATGTCCACCTATTAGTGCACCTAATACAATGTATTTTGCAGTCATTATAGTTTAAGAAAAACGCTAACTGGCATGGAAATATTTATTTATTCAGACAGAATCTACACCAGTTTATGATCTCCGGTATTAAGGATAAAGGAAAAGCATTGTTTGTGCCAGGCCTTGAAGGTTAAGTTGGATTACAAACACAGAGGTGGAGAGGAGTGGCACTCAGAGGGACGAGGTCACAGGAGTAAAGTGAGGAAGAGTGGCAGACACAGAGGGAGTTGTGAGCAGCTGTGAGCGGCTAGGGAGAAAGCCTGGGGAGCAGGCGAACTTGACTGTCAGGCGGGCTGGGTTTTTAGTCCAAACATGAGAAGCTATTGACAGATTCTTAAGCACTGGATTGACAGGACCCCCACTTCAGTAGGGGCTACTGAGGTGCTCCTGGGGAGCCCAGGGCTATTTTAATGTCGAATTATAGCTGCAGCGTTTTGAGTTCCCTGGAGGTTACTAATGTGAGGCAGAGACAAGTATGTTAATAGAACTCATCAACTATCCTTGTTTTGCTTTTAAAATGCTGTTTTTGTCCTGTTGAGAACGGAGTCTGAAGTGAAGCCAGTTAACTAAGATTAAGGCATGTGAAAGTGCCTGGCTTCGGAAAGACACTCAATAAATCCCCTCCCAACGCCAGTCGCCTTGGATAGAAAGATTTCTTGCCAGGGTATATTCAGGGAGCTTCCTGTTCACAGGAACTGTTAGCTACAGTTCTGGGAATACTGGAGTGCTGTATTAAAGTAATAAATCAGACAATCCTTCTAATTTTCATGGGCCTAATCTGCCTTTTGAGGGAATGACTTCCTTTTGCCACCTAATCCATAGTTTGGCTCCAGGCCTGCCTACTGTATCCTTCCATGCCATCCTGAGTTCTCCTATGGGGAGCCAAGTACACGTGATGGCCCCACAGGTCTTAGTCACAGTTCCTATTGTCTGGGGGCCAATCAAAGAAAACTGCCAACATGAATACATGAAGCTCTTATCAATGAATATCAATTCCTGGCTAGATCAGGATTAGGTTTGCCTGCATACAACTTGGGAATTCAAAATAAAAGTGGTTTACACAACACAGTTTACTTATCTCATATAGGAGCAGCTTACACGGGGACATTCTCCTAGTTCATGGCTTCCATCTTCGAGGTCACCTGGCATTCAAAACTGGATGCTAGAATTCCAGCTATCCTGACCACACTCCAAGAAGCAGAGAAGAGGTAGCCTTTTTAGAGAGCTTTGCTGGAAGCGTCCACTCACATCTTATTGCCCAGACTTAGTCCCTTGGCCAGCTGTCATTTTTGAGCTGGGAATATTGCTATTCCTCAAGAAACAGGCCTTGAAACTACGGGAGGTGGGAGAAGTCACTGGGGAGCAAAGTAGCTTCCTCTCTCACTTCAACCTATGCCTGACCCTGCTGCATGCTAGACTGCCTGATCACAGGTACATCCTAGTTCTCAAGGATATCATATATATGATATATAGTGTGTATATATATATACCATACACACACACCATTTCTCTTCTTGAAAAGTACGGAAGCATAAAGAAGGTAGAGTGTGGCAAGGGAGGGACTGGGCTTCCTAAGGCCATTTAGCCTGGGGACAGATGGTGAACTTGCAGTGATGAGATGGATAAATCAGTTTCCAAGTGGGCTTTCTCCCAGATGCCAGAGACCCTGGCTGTCCCTGTTTCATCATGCATTCCACTAACAAAGGTTTAACTTAAGAAAAGCTATGTGGCACAAGTGCTCCCCTCCCTCACTCCTCCCCTCATGGCAGCACCCTTCTCTGCTAAGCGGGAACATGACCTCAGAATCCTCAACACACTGTCCCTGGCAGTTCCTCTGGTCCAAAAGACTTGGCACTACTAGTTAAATCTATTAGCCATCCTTATTTTCTTGTGGGAATTTTTATTTGGACAGAGGGTTTCTGGGTAGTTCCTAATTTCATGGAAATAGATTTCTCATGGTGGAATTTTAGGTATATGCACAGGCAATAAATGTAGATATTTATAGGCAGCAGGCTTGGTATTCCTCAGATTTCACCACTCAGTGGCTGCAATCATTCTCACTGCTGGCAGTTTGCTCTTGTGATTGTTTACCTTACTGGACTGTGAATTTCTCCAGAATGGAAACTGTATCTTATCCACTTTTGTATCCTCAAGATGCCTGGCTCAGTATATTCTCAAAAATGTTATCCATAAATGAGTCACCTGCCTCAATCAAGGTCAAGTACTATCAAAGTGAATGCTTTCCCTGTAGCTGCTTACACTGTGGACTGCCTACCACCAAGGGCAAAAGGCAGGCCTCATTTGAAGGAGAGGTCAGTGACAGGAGGAACTGCAGTAGCACAACACACAGAAGGTCTTAGTTATGCCACAACTGCCTTAGAAATGCTTGTAACTGACATGAGAAACTGACTACCAGGCGACAGGGTGGCCATACCCCGAGGAGACAATACGCATTTTCCTTCAGGTCCAGGTTCAGGTCCTGGGCTAACTTGGCTCAGTGTTTTGTGTTCCAGGAGGTGACTCAGGGAGTTGTGCAAATGACTGACTCATATTTCATGGATATGAGTGTGGCTGAGGTAAGACCGCAATTATCTCCTGATTCAATTAAGGTAGCCTATTCTTGATTGTTTTGATAAATTATGTAAGTTGATACTAATACTGCTTATGTTTTAAATAGTGTAGTTCCACAGAAAATTTGTTTTTTCTATGAAAAACAAAGCTATTATTGCCAAAAAAGTGTGAAGAGTACGGACTTAGCTAGAGTTCACCTGAGTTTTATGTTTACCTGTTTACAGTGACCAAATTCTTCAACAGTGATCATGGTGGAAGATGAGACAAAATAATTCCCAAATGATCCTTTCTGCTCAAAGAGCAGCGTGGGTATGAGTAGATCCAGGTCGGTTTTTTTTTTTTTAGAGACAGGGTCTCACTCTGTCACCTGGGCTGGAGTGCAGTGGTGCAATCACAGCTCACTGCAGCCTCCAACTCCCAGACTCAAGCCATCCTCCCAATCCTCCTCAGGCTGGAGGACAGGCCTTGTTACAGCGCTCGGGGCATACCTCTGCCCTTTCCCACTCCCTTAGTCCACACTCTGGGCTAAATCCACAGTCTACTGAGGAACTGTCCCTGCATTCAGATTCCAGAGTGACACAGTGTTAGAGATGCTGTGGCTAGATACTCATATTGTTTCTGCATATGGCTATTCCTCAACCTTGTCTTCTTACTCTGGTCGAAGGGCTGAGCCCCACAGAAATAACAAGTCTCCTGTCATCCTTTTCTCTCTCTTAAAGTTTAGTACCAGTCCTAAGCAGTTAGCTCCCAGCTTCCTTTAGGGCAGAAAAAGTGGAGAGAAGTAGCACTTGCTTTTCCATTCACAAAGTCCTGGAGATGGCAGGTAGGAGGTTTGGGTGGATGTAGCTTGGACTTTGAAATTAGAACCAGGTTCAAATCCCCAGTTAGGACATTTCTCAGTACTTTGATCTTGCATAAGTTTACTTACCAGAGTTAAAGCAGTCTATTTATAAAATGGGGTACAACTTATCAGATTTAGATGTTAGAAATAGTGCAGTACATGGCAGCTAGCAAGCTTTCAAGAAATGACATCTCTCATTAGTATCATTTTGACATCACATTTCTCCGCTCAGTTGGTTACCGTTCTGTAATTTTCCCCAAAGTGTCACTGTGTGTCAGGGAGGGAGCACCTGCCTGGAGGAGTTTGAAGTGTGCATGTGGGGTGCATTGAGGGGGTCGGCACCCGGGTAAACCACTAGCGAGGTTTTAGTACGTATCCTTTCTCTCCAGGATTGCCGATCTCAATAAGTGCAAACAGGTACATACCTAAGGGGAATATGGTGGAAATGTCAGAGGAGGTAGGGGTGGTGAGGGGCGGAGATCCTGGCAGACCAGAGGCTGTACCATGCTTCGTTGAGGGTACGTGGCTACACTGATCTCTAGTCCTCCAGATGCTCTCCCCACTTAACACTGCCCAGCGACCTGACTGGACAGGAAGCATGCAGCCAGCCATGCTGTCACCTTAGTGTCATTGTCTCTTTCTCCTTTTAAGCCCTTCAGAAACCATAATTTGAATGTAAATGTTATACATTTTATAATGAAATAAAAATTGCTTAATGCGCCTGAGTAGATACACCACATTCCGATGGTTCGTTGACTGGATGCTGACTTTCATGTATGGCCCAAAGTACAAAGCAGCAATCACAGCAGACAAGGGAGCTCCTCTCCCAAGGGTTCAGCCATCCGACCCAACCTCCATAGCCCAGAAAATCTGAATACACACATGCAAGTATAAATGTGCCCCAGTCAGTTTTCCCAGGACGCAGGAGGGCCCACACAGCCTCAGGAAAGGGCACTCTTTGGCAGTGGTGTTGTCTACCCACCCTCTCCAGGGCTGTCGTCCTTCAGAACTTCCCTTTTATACTTCCTCTCTCGTCGGGTCAGCATGACCACTTTGCAGCCATTTATCTTCCAGGGACATCTGTCACTTATCCTAACAAACAGCATTAATACAGTTGAGAGGATGGAGCTTTTAAAAATATGGACTATGCTGAAGGAATTAAGAGAAAAAAATTAAAAAAATTAAAAAAAATATGGACTAATAAATGTAAAAACAGTCCTGTGAGAAGGAGGGAAAGCACAGGTTAAAAAATGGCTAGATGCAGGGAATTAAATGAAATGCTTATAAAGCCTTTCACAAGATGGCCCCACATTGCTGATGCTAAATAACAAGTCCCTCATTCCTTGTCTTCCCTTTAGTACCTGGATTTGTCACTAACAGGTGCTGAGATCTGAAAAAGGCATGATTTCATCTCTCTGGGCCTCAGTTTCCTCATATATAAAATTAAGATACTTGTGCTGGTTTTTTTTTTTTTCAAGAACTAGTTCAACAACATTCCCAGCCCCTCATGACTCCTTTAGTACGTATTTGGAAAAAAGGGTGGGAAGGCTTTTTCCGCACCTTATATTCTTCCCAATAAAGGCAAGAAAAGTCAGGGATGGCTGACATTGTGGGCTTTGGGAGGGAATTCGACCATTTACTGGACTTTTCTCTGAGCCAGGCTCGTTCACATACCTTGATCCTAGTCAACCGCCCTAAGTTAACTTGTTCCCAAAGCGACAATACCTGACGGCATTCTAAAAGCAAAACAAGGGCAGTTGATGAATTGTGTTAACTTAGTTCTCTACCTCACATTAACTTCCAAGGAACTCAAAACACTCCACAGCGAATTCAACATTAACATAGCTCTGGGACCCCAAGATTTATTTCAGGGCTTAAAACAAGATTATCATCAAGTCCTCGGCAAAGCTCGAAATATAGTCGAAGAGAGAACTCCCAAATCAAGGCCCAGCTTCTTTCAAATGCTTACCAAATACATAAATAAACAAATGAAAGAAAAAAGGCCGGTGCCTTGGCCCAGGCCTGCAATTCCATGGGAGACAGAGACGGACGATTGCTTGAAGCCAGGAATTCGGTACCAGTCTGGGCTATGAGATGCCTTCCTTACAAAAAGTTAACACACACACACACATCCCTACCTTAGCTACTTTGGAGACACACATACACATACACACACACACTCCCAACGCCCCTACCTTAGCCCGGCATGGTGGCGTGAGCCTGTAGTCCCAGCTACTTTGGAGGCTGAGGAGGGAGAATCACTTAGTTACTTCGGAGACACACGGAGACACATACACACACACCCTACCTTCGCACACACAAGGGAGAATCGCTTAGCTACTGTGGGGACACAGACAGACACACACACACACACACACACACACACACACACACACACACCCTACCTTAGCCGGGCGTGGCTGGAGACACACACACACACCCCTACCTTAGCCAGGTGTGGGTGGAGACAGAC